GGAGGTATAAAAAAAGTCAATGATATTTTTCACCAAAAAGAGCTCAATATTCTTTCTAAGACATGTATCAACATTAGGCATAAAAATACACGTTTTGAATCGAATAGTTTGTGTGAAATTGTTTAATATGGTGAGAGCTTTGAATCAGTTCTCAGCTGTTCTCAGTCGTAAAATCCGGGAAAAGTCGCCATTCCTGGAAATGTGATCTGTAATTAGTCGCCAATTCTGGAAATGTTACCTGAAATTAATTGCCAAATATGTAAATGGGAAATCATTAATCCTGATGATCCTGATCAGAACAATGGAACAAAATTATTGAATTATTGTATTGTCACATCGATCCTTGATAAGTGTGCTAAATTTCAAATTAATCTGATCTTTAAGTGGGTAAAAATCGAGTTCAAAAATTATGTTTCATAAAGGTGAAGCTTATAAAAGTGTGTAACAAAAATCCGACATTTCATGTGCAACAATCTAATATAAATAATTTTGGGGACTCAATACACATATATCGTGAAGGAGAGTCTTACCATGGTATATTATTCCTTCGTCATTTAGTTTTCTTCTAGGCATATATTTTTAATCTTCAAATATGAAAAAAAAAGCAATTGAGAATGCTACGTTGATCGGGGAACGAAGATTTTATACAAATCAGTCGCAAAATACAAGACTGTTATTTAAATGCGCTGTGAATTTATTGTAAAAAATCCAATCCTTGAAATACAGGATTCAGCAGCAATATTCACAGAATAAACTTTAGAAGGTCTTCACACCTTCAACAGCACTCAGACACAATGATCAGTATCTAAAAGACACGTATGTAAGAGATTATTCACAAGCACAGCAGAGCTAATTGCAGTCAAGGCAAGTTTACTAATTTACAGTCAAAACAATGTTTACTAATCACTGGTTGAAACAAGACAGAATATTTTCGGCGACCACCGCTCTATTTATAGACCCCGCGGAAACTTCGAGGAAGATCCGCTTGCGTCATAGATCGTGACCCCCCCCCCCATAATTGGATTCTTCCACTAATTTCTAAAAAAATCCAGAGGGTCCCGAACTCGCCAGAAATGGTCACCAAAGTCACCAACTTAGGTGTATCGCCAAGATTTCGCTAAGTTCCCATTGAGTAGCTCTTATATCGTAAGAAAAGGCGTTGCTTGTGAATATTACAATTTTAACAAAATAAATATAGCATAGATCAGTGGTCTTTAAACTGTGTTCCACTGAACCCAGTGATTCCACGCATCACAATAAAAAAATCGAGAAGAAATAAATATGCATGCAAAATTGATTTACGCTCTTTATGAAATTTGTATAGTTACAAGTATCTAAAGCTCATCCCCCCCTCCTTCATTAAAACTGAAAACTGTATTGATATATAATAAATTTATTTTGCAACACTTTTTAAAATTTTGTTATAATATAATACAATTTTTTAAAACGTTTAATCATTATATACACGTGTAGTATTCATTCACGTCACTTGGAGTACCATTGATTCCTAACTGGAAACATCTGATTAACTGTGACTGTGATTCCAGCAGACATGTTGGACGTAGAACTGAGCGCTAAACGAGGCGTAGAGATGATGGACATATTTCGTTAGCTAATGTTGAGGGGGCCAACGCCCTTCTAGTTATTCTTTCTATTTTAGTGATTATCTTGTGCCGTCACCTTTTTAAATGTGTTTCTATGGGAACTATGCCTGTATCTTCATTTCCAACCCGAGGCGAGGTGTGAAGTCTCACCTCACATATTACTAGATTGTGTGTATATTATCTCGAGTTCCACGAGATAATTTTATACTTGTTAGTTATCACAATGTCTTGCAAAACTAAATAGTTTTTCTAATGGAAACTATGAACCTTTTCACATTTGTGGAAAACAAAACATATAATGAAAGAATGGAACAACATATCAACTGAGTTGATGTTAAAATCTAAATTTAAGCAAGAACAGCTTCGAAATTTTAGGTCAAATTCATGCAAAATACACGGATTGCTCACACAGCTTTAAATATTTTATTGCCATTCGGAACACTGTGTTTAAGTGAAATATATTTTTCAACTAAAGTGGCTACAAAAACATAGCCTAAAAAGTACGTAATGCGATTGTATTTAATCTCAATAAACCTAGACTTGGACAGATTGAGTAAAACAAATACTAGCATATGTCCCAGTTACTAAATAGAATGCTTGGGTCTTGAATCACAAATTAATAATGTGTAAATTATATTTAAAAATTAGATTAACATTTTTTAATAATTAATGCAATACTTTATGCCTAAAACATGTTGATCTACTTTAACTATTATTTTGAGATATGTTCTAAGAAAAGGGGTTCCACGAAAGCACTTTTCACTTCTAGGGGTTCAACGAAAATACCTTCAAGTTCCAGGGGTTCCGTGAATTGAAAAAGTTTGTAGACAGCTAGCGTAGAGTAATATAAATGCGTTGTGAATCCAAATATAAATCGTTTGCACTATTTTATACCAATTTCGTAACAATAAAAATGCGAACAAACGACCACGCATCCCTAGACACTTTTTAAAATACAGTTCCCCGTGCGTGTTGAATGTATGTACAAATTTGTATTGACTCTAAAGGAAAAATAATATTTTTCTTTTTAATGCCTAAGTTTTTTAAATCTAGTTTTACATGCATAACAATTGGGGTTTTCAAAATTTTAAATTTTTATGTGTTTTTCAGAAAAATTATACAATTATTTTATCAACAAACTATTTGTCTATATTTTAACCATTGGTTTATATGTGTACCTAAATGAAAATATATTTGATAAAATGATGTTTATATGCTCCTTTATAACAAAGGGGGAAAAAATCTTTTCAATTCAAAAATACTTTGGTAATTCTAGAGAATGCTTTTATTTTAAAGTATATAAAAAAAGGCAGGAAAAATATTATGATAAAAGAATACGGGAAAGCATTGCTACATTTAGCTTTTCCCCTTTTTCTCAGAAGACCAATTTTTTGCCTTTTGAGTACCTTTTTAAAAAACCCTATTGCACTATATAGCTCCACATTTTTATATACTTCTATACAGGACTCCTGTACATAGAGTGAATCCAATTGTTTTTAGTCTAAGTAATATAAAGTTTTAAAAAAAGTAGTTTTATGTGTAAAAAAGAAGATAAAATAAAAAATTTCAAAACTACAAAGTTTCACATTTCTTTTTAAAAAGAAACTATATGAATATTTTATTAAAAAAAAAAGTTCACTTTATTTTCTGTATTGTTTTATATATGTGTCAAAAATATTAAACATATTTTTGAAGTGTACATTTAAAAAAAAAAAAATGGTACCTAAGCATAAGAATGCATTATAAGATCTCAAAAATTGTGTCCAAATTAAATTAAACAGAAAATAAACTTTTTTTCAACAAAAAGAATTATTTTTGTATTTCTATAGAATGAATAAAGTATATTTGTTAAGAGCACATAATTTCTAAGCTCTATTGAAAATTTTAAAAGATATATATGTACCATAAACTAAAAGTCTCAATTTTGGCATTTTACTCTTTCGAGCATGTCCTGGTTTCCTTAAATTGTGCTTCCTTTCTTAAAGTCTTCTATTTAGATATGCCCATGCAACGGAAAGTTCGAATTCCAGATGCCATCTTCCAACTTTTTTTTAATTGTCCTTCAAAAGAGTTCTTTGTTATGTTCCCTACAATCAATCGATGATGCTTATTCAAAGACATCTTGATTTCGTTCATATATCCCGAAAAATATTTTAACTTTCCTCCATCCTTTTTTTTTAAGTTGATGGATATTTTACCCTTTTTATCTTCTGTACGGTTTTCTGACTTTGAATGAAATGAAATTATTCATCGACGCATTCTTCCGCCGGGCAGTAATACGATTTTCCATGGTGTACGTTTCGAATCTCTTGAATATTTATTCCAGAGCGTTAACGTCTTTTTTCTTTGAAATCCGTTCCTGACAGAGGAATTTTCATGCAAATTTCTGCAACACTAAAATGTTTGAGAATGCTGAGGAATCTAAGTTATAAGAACTCTCCGATTTAAAAGGTTACGGAGGGAAAGTTATCGTCTTCGGTTTCATCTAGAATAATTTTTACATAATGTGAATTTAAATGGAATGTAGTCTTCTTTCGTATAGCTCATGAGTACCTTTTTAAAAAATGTTAATGCTTTTTTTTGGAAAAGCGTCTAGATTTTACGACATTTTTATAAAAATAAACCATTTTTTTAAAACATTATTTTGAAATATGTTCTATCTTATGTGAAATGTGTTTTTCATATGAGCTATCAATGAAATTCAGAAAAGACTTATTCTGACACATTGGAAAGTAATCAAAAATAATTTCTTATTAACTATAACCTAAAAAAGATTTCTAATTTTTTTGCTGAAAAGGCAATTATTAAGTATTTAAATTATTCTTTTCAAAATAAATATACTGTAGAATAGAATACTCACTTTAAACTTGGCAAGTTTTTATGTACATTACACATGTTGAATGTAGAATAATATTTAATTTTTATTAAATTCCATATTGATTCCTCATAAATTAACTTTTTTATCGTAATTAAATTATTCTTTATACACTACATTAAACTCTTTCCACATTCCACTGTTGCTTTAAATAGTAAAAAAAAAGTTTATAAATGTATTTCTGTATTGGGTGAGCCAAAGGTTGGTTTAAACTTTAAAAAATCTTATAACAAGTACTATAAAAAATTAGTCGATTCCTACATTGGTCAAAAAAGAAACATTTTTATTTTAGGTGATTTTTATTAAATAATTACAATTAATATAAATATGGCAAGATCACAATATTAAGGGGCTAAATAGAAAACGATTTTCCTTCTAATTATTCATTTTACTTTCTATATATGATGTTGGACTATTATTTTCGTTGGTTACAATTTATTCTTTAATTACATTTAATTATTCAATTAAAATAGTCAGGAGAAATCACAGTTAAGGAGAAATCACATTCTCAGAAATTAGGCCATCTCAGGTAGTAATTGATTCTACGACCTTTCTATTAGAAGTCCAACGCGCTATCCTTTGCGCTACAGGCACCCAACGAGCGATTTTCCTTTTTATATTTGGTGTATGACTATTATTTTTCTTTGTTACTATTTATTCATTAACAAACAAATTAATGAATTAATACTTGAAAAAACTGTATTAACATCAAGTGCATCCACTGCAAGTTTAAAACAATGTATTCGATTTTGAGTGGATGAATAGAAATTATTTTATTTTTAGATTGGAGATTTTAACAAGTATATATATATATATATATATATATATATATATATATATATATACTAGCTGACCCGACCCAGCGTTGCTGTGGCTTTGTTTTAATACGTTGATTTTATATTATTCTAAACTATTCAATGCAGTCAAGTTAATCTTCGTTAACAATTATAGATAGTGTTGAAATTATGCATAAAACAGAATAATTTGTTTCATTCTGCATTTTATGCATCTCCTATTTAATTATGAATTACTTATGAAGTTGTTAAATAACAACAAAGATTTAATTTTATAAATGAGTGAATAACGTTGATTTTTAACTATTTTAAATATTATTTTTTCATTTCAAAGTATAATAATAAATAATTTCAATATATTAATAGCAAATCAGTGCACAATATTTTCGGTAACCCCCGTCTTTTACTTACTCAAATAGATTCGACGGTTTCCCCACACGTGAGCATGCAACATACAGTTGTCCATTCGAGAAACATGGATTTTATAAGTCCAAGTTTCAAATAGATATTGTTTGGCTTAGAGATTTCTTTATGGTCATAGTGAAAACCAAACGAATTGGAAATCGAAGCTTTTTGAATGGCATTGGAAATTCTGCTGCTGTCAGAGTAATGCGTGGCAACAGCATTTTTTCTTTAAACTTTACAGTCAAAATATTTGCTTCAAGAATTTTCCCAGTAATTCTTTTGATGACCAAACGTGAAACGTTGCATTATATAGGTGGATTTAAGATACGTAGCAGAAAAACTAGTGATTTAATCTTCAATCGAATATTGTATAGTGTACTTCTGATAAATCCAGAGAATTCAAATACTCAGTTGGAAAATTTAGGGTTTCATTTTCATCAACGATAGTGTCGATTGATTTAAAAGGCAGTAGATCACTTGGCAACAACTCAAAATCTGGAAGTTTATTTCGTCAACATCAACATATTTTATGACTAAGTATCAGGATTACAGAGTCAATCATTATCTAGATAATTATTCAGTATAAACGGGAAGACACTCAATCAGTTTCTTTTTTGTCTGAAAAACAGTGCAGAAATTGTGTGGCAATTTCATACATTATGTGTAGGGGTGCAGTTCAACTTCACAGTTTCTAATATCCAGCACTTAGAAAATATTTGCACTGATTGATCATCTTGCTCGTATGTTTATGGTCAATCGAAGTGTCTCGACGTTTCGCCATAAAAAGGATTGTTTTAAACATTCATTAATCTCGTGAGCAAAAGTAGAGGAAGGAATGACTGGCAATGCCAGTCAGAAATCACCAGACAATTGTAGGATAGCACACCGGAATATTTTTTTCGCTGCCTTTTAAATCTTGTCAAGTTCCATGTAATATGTGCTTTGAGTGAATGTTTGTTGGCCATGGTACATTTATATCCCTAATTAAAATTGAACTTCTTTGCTTTCCACAGCCATTTCACTTTTTTCAATGCTGCACATTGTGCCTGGTTTCTTATGAATGTTTAACGGCTACTTGAATGCTTAATGTGCAGTTTGTCCACCATCTAACAAAGTGGCAACAATACCTGAAGATGAAATTGTTAGTGCAGTTTTCTGTTGAGATTGTATTTTCTCAAGGCTGTGCTTGCAAATTCAGTACAGATAAGGAAAAGAAATCCGGCCACGACTCGAATGCAAAGCCTTTTGACTTTATTCCAGCAATATTCAACATAGTTAATGGAGTTTCGGAAACCCGAATCCAGATTCACGTTCCCTACCCCCAAACAGCCGTTGCCCATTTTCGGTGTCCCTACTCCTGTAAGTTTAGTCCCTAAAAAGGAAAATGTCATTACGGTCGTCCGGTCTTGTCCAGTAAAATACAGGGAGTTTCTAAAATAAACTTCAGAGTCTTGTTTCCCATCCAGAAAAATATGAGGACTTTTCATAATCCAAGAATTTTAAGGAAAGTCTCTACTACTGTTCATGTAAAATATGGTCTTCTAGAATTATTTGGTATATTTCAGAATTTCTCAAATTAGATTGAATATTTGAAAAGGCAGTAATGAAATACGCCAGGGAATCCTTTTTTGCTTTTCTACGTTTGCAAGTTAGGCTGGTATCACTGTCCGGCATTATCTCGCAAAGTTACCGGAACGCCTAAAATCCAATTTCAGGATCTCATTCCCCACCCCAAAACTTACACGTGACTGACTTCCGGTGCTCCAAAGTGTGCAAGTCCAGTCAATAGAGTGAATGAATATCAGCTCGCGGGACTCGAACGTGAAGCCATTTCACCTAATTCCAGCAATATTCGGCAAAACTACAGGTGTTTCTGAAATATGATTTCAGATTCTCGTTTCGTGTCCATAGACGCAACCGGTGGCTACTTTAAGTGCCCCTGAGTTTGCAAGTTCAGTTCCTGGAGGGGAACATTAGAGTCATCCGGCATTATCCGATAAAGTTATGGGAATTTCTAAATTCCGATTTCGTATTCTCGTTCACAATCCTGAAATACACCAGAAACACCTTTCTTTAGCTCCAAGATTTTTAGGGTCAGCTTCTGCCACGGTCCACGTAATAGATTGTTGTCCCGAATTATCCAGCAAAGTTACAGCGATTTTTTTGGATCTAATATCAGATTCGGATTGCACATTTTGAAATGCGATAGAGACCAAATTTTCGGGCTTCAAAACTTTTAAAGTAAGCTCCTGGCCACGGTAAATCTAATTTATGATCGTCCGGCATTATACGGTTAAGTTACGGGGATTATTCGGAACCGATTCGAGAATCGGAATCCACGCCCCAAAATACGTCAGGAATTCACTTTTTGTGCACCTTGGTTTACAAAATCTGCTTTCGCAGAAATACGCGCATTGCGACATTTTGTGAATTTTCCAGCATCCTGGATTCTTTACTTTTCCAGCAATAAAAAATAATGACGTCATTAATTGAGATAAAAACAATCCTATGTCTTAAGTTGAACGAAATGACACACAATATGCAGAATGATGTTAAGATCGGTTAAATAGTTTCGTAGTTCATCGCGGACAAACACCGTGATAGGTAATTTTTATATATAAATATTGTTAGGTTGAGAGAGATCGAAGATTTTATGTAAATCAATTGCAAACAACAAGACAGTTTTTTTTCAGAGAGATGAGGATTTATTGTCGAAAATTCAATCCTTGAAATAAAGGATTCAGTAGGAATATTTGCAGAATAAATTTCAGAAGGCCTTCACGTCTTCAACACACTCAGACACAGTTATCAGTGTCTAAAGTAAAGGAATGTAAAAGATTATTCACAAGCACAGCCGAGCTCTAATTCGGTAATCACGGTCAAGGCAAATTTACTAGTTGTCAAAACAATATTCACTAATCGCTGGTTGAAACAAGACTGACTCGTTTAGGTGAGCATTGCTCTGTTTATTCTTTTAACTTCTAGAAAGATCCGTTTGTATCATATATCGTAAAATTAGTGGGTTTCTCCACTAATTTCTGGAAGAATCCAGAGGGTCTCGAAAGCGGCAAAAATGTTCGCCAAGTTGGTCGTCAAAAATTATGCCAACTTTGCTGTAGCGCCAATATTTCAACAAGTACCCATTCAATCGCCAGTGTAACGTAAAGGGCGACGTTGCTTCGAATATTCCAATAAATATAACATAGAGTAATATAAATGCATTACACATCCAAATAAAAATTATTTACACTATTTACACAAAATTCGTAACACTGCCCCTCCTCAAAGACTGCACGTTCCGGGCAGTACAATCCCTGAATAAGAGTATCTATTTACAGACATACACTTTTTAAATAATATTCAAATATAATGTAACAAATACTCATCAGCATTGCAAAGCAAATAAATTCAAAATACATGAAAATATGCAAACATAAATAGAACTAAGGAATTCTAAAAGAGAAAAAATTTACATAATTTATAAAATTATTAGTGACAATGGTCCAAATCTAAGGATCTTATTGATTTTGGCCAAGATAAGGGGCTAGACTTTTGTAATGTATCACCTTCGGTTTTGTGTGTGGTTATTTCTGTATCCAAACCACAACATCATTCAGTCTTTTTAGGACTGTGTAAAGACCTTCCCAGTTGGCCTGTAGCTTCCGAGAAAGTCCTTTGCGATATTTCGTATTCCATAACTACATTTTGTCGCCTTCGTGGAAGTCGTGTCCGGTTGCCCTTGTGTCGTATCGGGTCTTCATCTCCTCTGAAAACATACTGATGCTTTCCCTAGCCAGATGATGCATTTCTTCCATCCGTGCCTTGACATACTCATCAGGCGCTATTCTCTTTGGATACCATTTATTCCCGTTGCTTGGGGCTATGGGTAGCCTAGTGGTTAGAACATCGGACTCCAGACCGGTAGGCCTGGGTTCGGCGCCCGATGCCACCAAATGCCCACCGAGTACAGACGGAGAACGTGCACGTTAGATCAGTCGGTCCGAATGATGTCTCCATCTATCGTGTTGTGTGAGAAAATCGTACTGTCACCTTCATGGGGCTCAAAGCTGAGGCTAACGACAGGTGTAGATCTAGCCGGTTGCCATGATGAATTTCGTGGACCTCGATCTGACTACGTCAGACAGGTGGCATAAACAACAACAACCATTTATTCCCGTCAACAATGGCTGAACTCAAAGATTCTATATGTAGCAAGGTTTTTGAAATTCATTCCGATACATTGCATTTAGCAGTAACTGGCGTTGTGAGCCGCCTTAGTAGTATAGGACAGTATTTTTGAAGCCTTGTTGAACAATTGCCATTGCAAGAATAAATGATAAATATCGTACTGTAGTCCTGTACATTGTGTTTTGGATCGTCAGCGCACCTCTAACG